AGCTACACACACTGGGAAGTTAATAAGATTGTGCGTATTAAAAAAAATAGAAATTAAAATTGAATTTAACATACACGACATAACCCTCTGTCAGCACGTTATAATCTATGGGAAAACGTTTACTAGGAAATATGTATACTCTATCGTTATACATATGGTACGTATTTGAAAACGGTACATAGATTTTTAATACGAAATATATGGAACAAGAACATACATGGATATACGTACTGCAAACTTAATTTTTTATATTCAAATTTTACACATTACGAATTTATAAAAAGTTTATAAATAAAGGAAGGAAGAAGAATGAAAACAATGAAGAAAACTATTTGTCGCAGCAATCACGAAGGGACCAACAGAGAGCCATTATATCATCCTCTTCTTTATTCATCGCGATGATTCTAATTACATTCAGATCAGAGAGAACTGATTATCCATGAGTGCAATGGGTTCGCGAGGGCAAAGCCCGAAAAAAACAGTACGCGTTATGCCGCCGGATAATTAATTATCTATTATAAACGATCGATTAATTGTAGCCACGATCCCGGGTGCAATAAATATTCGGGTAGATAGATCCGAGGGATCGAAGGGAGTCGTTAATCACGACAAATCGAATTGTCGGATAGAAAGAGGCTCGGAGCGGCTGACCAGTAGCGGCTGGTTCCACTGTTTGCCGCAATAGTTTCGTTCGTCATTAAACGTGATGCGCGCCGTGGGAGACGAGAAATGACACTGACAAATATGCTGGACGACGTCTATTAATAACAGTTCCGTACATTATACATTGTGTATTGCCCGAAATTCCGAATAATGGAACAAAAGTAAATTCGATGCTGTCGAGTTTCGCGAAAGAACATTTTTTGAATCGTTGATACGCGAGGAGCGTTTTTTTAAATGTAAAGTTTTGTTCGAAGATAAAAGAAAAATCACGAAGATAGAGATTATTTGTTTTAGCCAGAAAAATATTTACGTGTTCGTGTTACGTTTCCGTTTTTGATATTTTGTTATTAATTTTATTAATTCTATTGTCAAACAAGTTCGCCATCAGAGGGAGAACCATATTTAGCGCAAAGTACGTAGTCAAATAATTCACCTCGTCCATTTCGATGTCGTTGTATAAATATTTGAGCTGAAACTAAACACCTCGGCTGAGTACTGGATTATATTTTCGATTTGCCATCTTATACGCAATTTTTCATAATTATATTTAAACAATTCGATAATACTAAATATAAAAAATATTTTAAATTAATTCTGAATTATGAATCGACGATTTCCATGAATTTTCGCGTTAAAAAAAGAAGATCTTTTTAATGACCAAATCATTTCCCGTTACTGTTGTATACATCGTTCTACCTCGGGGAACGGATATCCGCATCTCTCGAAACAAACATCATTATTTTACTTTATTATCATCATTTCACTTTACAAATAATATTCCCAATTATGATGAATTTCGTTTGCAATTTTTTCCTAATTACGTACATCTTGCCACAATATTCTTACTTAAAAGGAATAAACGTTTGTCTTAAAATCCAAAAATAGAGTAAACTTCCCTTTTTTGATTGAATTTCAACATATACATATGCTGTATACATCTCTATAGTTTCGTAATTTTCGGATCTCCTTAGAGAGAGCAAAGTAACTTAAGAGAATATACTTTTATCCATTAAGGGCCAAGCTTATCATAAAACTTTCTTTTAATTTTATACACTAGTAAATTCTATCTGGAAGAATTCTATCTGTAAAATAATTGCGATTTCGTTTTCAAGTGAAGATTATTTTAAAACAAACCTTACGTCAAAACACATCTCATACTTTGTCACGATTTATCTTTGATATACGATAAATATCAAATGTTCGTAATAATAATAATATTCGGAAATAATAGATATAAAAATTCGAAAATAACAGATATCCCAAAAATTCTAATAATCAAGTCACATAAAATCTTTACATAAAAAATTGCGACTCTTTCTTCCAGTCTATTTCTTTGTGTTTCCAGATAAGCTAGAAACTTTTGTTTACCATGAATACATATTCTCTTGGGACTAAATTTTGAGAAAAGAAGAAAAAAAGAACGATAAAGGTACACGAGATAGAAAAAAGGAGTGAGGGAAAGGGAGGGAGAGAAATGAAAAAAGGAAAATTTTCACGTTAAATGCGTGTAACGCGTACAATCAGTTCGAACGTTGTATTTTTCACTTGGCAGCTCGGTAAATCATCGTGAGGGCACCTGGCTTCTTAATAGGTCGCCATATATTTCTCAGCAATAAGTGGCCAGCCCTTATCTGTGCTTGATATACAGCCAAAAAGATTGCTGTTCTTCGAACCGTTCGCGTTTTCCGAATAAGGAACAATATAAAGCAGCCTGGCACGCGATTAGTCCATTTTCGTGGCGTTCTTCGTCTCGAGCTCTCTTCAATATTCTAGTAGAAAGTAGTAGAAATTTATATTGCTTGTAAAGTTCAATTAGAAATCAAATTCTGGACTTGAAGGAAGTTTCATGTCTTATTAAAAAAAAAAAAATAATAATAATA